TTGAGCTAGATGTTCCCCGAGACCATGGTCCCCAGAGCCCTCCGTCCAGCAACTCAGTCCCTCGGGGAGTTTGGATGTGTCCGTGGGGCCTCCATGACCTTTCCTTGTACAGGTTGTGTTAGTTTCCCCTGTATTGTGTACTGTCTAATCTTATTTTTAAAAGTAAAAATTTCTTAGCAATGTAAAAGAAATGCCAAGATTCCTATTACATCTTGATTATAACAAGAACTGAACATTTTCTCTTCATTTCAAAATATAGATAGGACATATAGAGGGATGGAATAGCCACAATTTTAATTCCTGTAAAAAACCAAGAGGTTTAAGATGGTCAACTAAGTTAAAGAGTGGATTTTTTTTCAGTCCTTCCTTTCTTCCTTCCTATCCTCTCCTTCTCTCCCTTTCTCTCCTTCTGTCCATCCCTCCTTTTCCACCCCCTTATTTGTAACATCAAACCCTTTATACACATTGTAGTATCAACCCAATGAGAAGGCAGATCAGAGAGAATCAACTCCTGTTCAGAAATGAGGCTCTCTGATGGAAATCTTCTCACATCAGCTATACCACAAGTCTTAACCAGAGTGCACTAAGGTGGATATGCATTCTGAAACGGCCACTAATGTCGGGCACCTGATCCTGGAGTGGGTAAATATATTGTGCTTATTTTAAGAAGAAAATGCATTTATCACCAGGAACTCTGCTCAAAGGAAACATCTAGTATCTCTAATATAAAAGGACTGACAAGGATATAAAAAGTAGCAACAAGAATTAAAGTCAAGGTATGTTCTGGACATAACCAGAAATGAAGACATTATTCTTAAAGATAAAAATGCACACTCACAAAGCAGAATTGACTTGTCAAAGGTAGATGAATTAACATTTATAAGAATTTTAACTTATCTCTATGGGAATAATTCCAAAATCCTTTCCAAATTAATTTAATAGGTTTAAATAAAAATTAAGCCTCCTTTAAGAAGATGCAATATAAACCTTGGTCACTAATTAGAACTACATATGCTTTGAACTTATTAAACTATCAGCCAAAAATAAAGATATTCATGTGTGTCATATGATGACAGATCATTTTTAGCACCTTACAACCTATTCCTTGGGGTTGACTGAAATAGCAAACATATGTTGACAATTACTAGCAATTCTATTAATTATCAGCAAACTTGCTTAAACGTCATTAAATATGGTAAAAAGCAATAGAATTAAACAGAAGAGCGATACTAATTTACAGCATGTCACCTCCATCTGTTGAAATTTCCTTGTTACATGTTTAATTTTATGCCTCTAGGTACTATTTGGAGTCCTGGTGCTACAGTGGTTAAGAGTTCAGCTGCTAACCAAAAGGCTGACAGTTTGAATCCTCCACCTACTCCTTGGAAACCCTACAGGGCAGTTGTACTCAGTCCTGTAGGGTCTCTATGAGTCAGAATCCACTTGACAGC